GAAAAAAAGTTTTTTTTTAGCAATCCAGCACTTAAAAAAGCATGTGATTCGATTTTATACAAGTATATAGTATGAATCATAGCCAACATGCTAATTAAGCCTTACGTGAATACAGTCAAAAGTCTTTAATCCGGACTCGTCGGGACTTTGGCGATTCCGGATTATCGATTTTTCCGCATTATAGATCATCAGTTTAAATCTGGTAAGATCGCATGCAGAAATCATAAAATTAAAAATATGAAACCGTAATTTATAAAATAATGAGCAATTATGATCTAAAGGGTATCAAAATTTACAAAAAAAAAGAAGCTTAATATTTATTTGTTTACTTTATTAAACATTTCTTTCAACGCGTGCATGCGTAAAGCATACATTAGGCATAGTCGAAATTAGAAAAATTGCAACCAGAAAACTATTTGATTTGTATTCGTGATATTTATAATGAGGAGGAATTTGATTTAAATCATATCAAAGACCGAGTAGATCGAGATGAAATACAACATTTAGTAAGGAATTATAAGCCGACTGAAATAAAAACATCTGCCCTGAAGATAACGATAGTGCTGACAGATCAACTTCCAGTTCATCGCTCGCCCGCGACATTTCCCCACCCCAGCCCCGCGCAGAGCAGCATGAAATTGATAAACAGATTTCGGAACGGTTAGATAAACAAAGGATATGCCTTTATCCATTTTTTGTAGCAATTCCACTTTTTGTTTGATGGACATCGAAACATACTTTCGTTTTGTAGATCCTTTGGGAGCTCCAGCATCGGAAATTCTATTTGACATAATCGAAAGTTCAAGCTTACTTTTATAAAATTGCTCTTACAGTCTGCAAAAAATAATAAGCCGGATCCAATTCGAAGATTAAGGAACAACGCAATCATCAACATTAACTGTAATAGATAATTAGATAATTTTAGCTTATACCATCCGTTATTAAACGCTCACGCGAAAACGTATTCTACGCTTGCGCAGACGCATATGCAAGTCGTAAAGGTCTTGCGCGCACGCGTAAACGCCTATGCGCATGCGTCAACGCGGCGCATGCACAGAAAGATTTTAGTTTTGAGGTCCGGATTATGGGTGTCCGAATTAACGACTTTTGACTGTATTAAAAAGAACACATATCGAAGTATAAAAAATGGGTAACTCCATGAAGTTATAAACTTATATGCAACATTTTGTTCTTTTTGTTACATGCAGATGCAAGAATGAACATCGTAGTAGAGTTTTTATGGCTGGGAAAAGAGATAGAGAAGCTTTTTTTCCCTTCCTGTGGAGTGTAAGAGGAAGAAAATGTTTAACGTTGAGGTAAAGAAATCCAGATAAGCAATTAGTATATTTGTTGTTTACGGTGGTGCACATAAATAAACTGAATTCTACATTTAACCTAATAACACACCTCTCATTGACTTAGCTATTTCACAGCATATCTTTGCTTATTATTGTGAACTGAGAAACTAAAACTACAGTTAATTACAGATTGAAAAAAGCAATAAGATTTGTAAAATTATTAAAACAAAAAGATAATTTTGTTTGATTTAAAACATAAACTATGGAACTTAACATGCCTTCTTTCAAGATATCTTTTTCCAATAGTTTAATGCCTAGACGCACTAAATACTTTCATTTTTTTTAAACAATTTCTTTCTGGATACTTTAATTAAAAAATAATCATTCACGAAGCGAATCCGGATTTTAAAATTTAATTACGATTGATATTCAAAATCATATGTTTCTAAAGCATATATGATTCATAAATATGTATTCATATGATTGATATGATTCATAAAAATGTTATATTTTCTTATTCCAAACAATTTGTCATATAAATACAAAAAGAAATTGTACTTGAAACGTTTCAGTCAGTGAAAAGAAAAGACAATATAAAATATGTACAGTTTTTATCCTTGAAATCTATATAAAGGAAATTCGATTAAGTTTTTATTTCACTAAATTTTATCTTTAATTAAAAATTTACAAGAAAAATTAGTCGCTTCAAAGTTGCTAGGCAAAGAATCGCTAGAAAATAGAATCTCACTCAGAATATATTTTAATTTCGCTACAGATTTTTGGCGAGCATAATTTAAGATGTTCTGAAAATTAAGAAATACCGAAGAAAACATTCAAAATTGTCTTAGAAAGTTGGCCACTGTCTGTAAGTTCAACAAGTAACTACAAAATTTTCGAATAAAGTGTATATGAAAAATTAAATAATACTTTTAAAGTGCTAAATAAGAAATGTCTAAATCTAAAAGTAAATGTAAGCAATCCTATTTAAAGCGACTACTCAAAATTCCATATCTGTTTAATCTTGAGAGAATGTGGTGAACTTGTGTAATGATTAAAAACCAATGTTTATTATTCTCAAAAACACTGTTCGTCTTAGAGGGAGATAGTCACCAAGAATGTTCACTGCAAGTATACATTATTTCTAAACAACAACAATAACAAAACAAAAAAAAAAAAAAAAAGCTGCAGGAAGATTTTCGTGATATTCCTAAAGTATAATGTGCATATGAACCAGTTCCTGAGAATGTACTCCACAAAGGAATCCCACCCCTTAAGCAGATAGCCATAGTGTGCTTTGGCATAATCTAATAAATCCAAATCCTACTGAAATATTATGCATAGCTGACTTTCTTCATAACTAACAAATCGTCATTCAAGTAACTGACTGCACGCTGTGCATGGAAATTTTAAAGACATTTTAAGAATAAACTGAAACAAAACAAGAAATAATTTTCGCTATAAGAGTATTAGACTAACAAAAGTGAAGAAAATAATCTCAAAATTAACTTAGCAATTTTTTTATAAATAAGGTCATGCAGTTACTTACCTTCCTTTTTCTAATCTTTTTTAGATAATACTTTTCATAAAAAATTACCAGTAAAAACTTTATAAAAATGATTTATTAATGACCTTTATTAGTTAACTATGTCGGTTTAAAATTCTCTTAAGTGCTATAAGTTGCATTAATTTTCTATGCTTAAGTCTCCTTCTTACTTTTTCAGCAAAAATTTATTAGTTAATAAAAAATATGAAAGTAAAAATTATCCTTCTTTCTATCTTGCGCTCACATATCATTACGGGAATATCCATTTACAGTTATTAAAGCCTGAAAAAAGCATGTCTGCGATGTTATCGTCATGCGATGATTTGTATATACTTTATTTTTTACCACGATATTTTCGACGACGATGTTTTTAAACCGCGAAGTTTTTGAACCGCTTTATTTTCGACGACGATATTTTGTACGACGATGTTTTAGAACTGCGATGTTTTCTCCCACGATGTTTTGTAGCACGACGTTTTCGCCTTGCGTTGTTTTCTCCGCGACGTTTTCGTTCACGATGTTTTCGGCTGTAACCCTATTAATGTGTCTCAATATTTTTTATTTAAATTATGTTATGAAGAAGTCTTTAAATGGAATTTGTTTCCCTTTAAATTTATACAGTTATTATCTGCAGCTAAATGTATCATAGTTTAAAAGATGATAAGAATTTCATTGATATAGGAGATAGTATTCTGGAATTTTAAATAAATCATTACTAAAGATGATCATTAGTGTTTTTATTTGTGATGTAATCTGCCAACAGGTGGCACTTTTTGCAAATAGTGACAGATGGTGCTGCTGTTGCATAGTGAGAGTTAGAAAGATTATCTAGTTTTTCTGGTAAGAGTGCATTCTTCCCTTCAACAAGAGACTTAATATACATATGTACATAAGTAATTAAATAAAATAATCAAATAAGTGGAAAATATTTACGATGTTGAGTATGAAAATGAAAGAGCAAAAGCAAACAGCCAAACTTCTACATGAATAAGAAAAAATTTGCTTTGGCCCACAAAACTTGAGAACTGCAATTCCTTGAGAAGTTGTAAGCAAATATCTTCCAAATAAGTCCAACATTTGTACAGTGTCAAAGAAATTGAAAACCAGTGAAATTTTATTGAACAGGGTTCGCAGCGGTCCTTACAAATGCTTATAAGTCCTTATATTCCAAAATAAAATATAAAGGCACTTATAAGTGCTTACTTTTTCTTTAAAGCCCTTATTTTTTTTGTTTTTAGTGCTTATTTTTTGCTTTTAGTGTTAACGTAACCTATGGTGCACGCAAGAGTACAGACAGGTGCACGTCCTTCTATTGGTCAAAGAATTGCAAAAACCGTAGAAAATTCCGGTACATTCGGTATTCTTTTCCTCCCACCCAAATACTACACACGTTTGAATTTCTATCAAAATTTTAATAATTTGCATTCTCGTTCCGTGTGGTCAGTTCATATTCGTGTTTATTATGATCATTATGCTTATATTTTGAGCATATGTATGAATATTTATAATAATATAGTTGCAGTAGCTGCTGAAGTGTAGATAAACTTGGTGTATGGGTGTATTTGGGTAAAATAAAAATGGGTGTATTTTTACGCAAATTAACTTTCTAAGAAATAATATTCGGAATGGCTTAAATAAAAGGAAAGTAATCGAATAGTCATAATATTTTTTTTTTTCCAGTACATTATACAGTACGGAGGTTGGGAGGTTCTCCCCGTTCTCCGTAAAATCTCTAATATTGAAGCAGCGGTTTTTTTTTTTTTTTTTTTAAGTCACCGTCTAATCTGGATTAAATAGGACTAAAAGTTTTGTGGTCTACCCAACCCAAGCTAAGAATGATTCTATTCTAAAAATTTAACGCAGTCTGTTCAAAATTAGAATCAAAAACATCCCAGAGTAGTAAGTCTCTTTCTTTTCTTTTATTTAGTTCTTTATTCTCCGGATACCGGCAGATGTTGATTCCGATTCCGATTGCGTAATATCATGTATGGAAGAATTACGCCGCACGTATTGCGCAAAAACATTTGCGGTATTTTGCAGAGATAATTAATTTTTATGTTCAGTCTGAGATTTATTTATGAACACTTAAAAGAGTTTTACTGTGCTTTCTAAGCAGAATATTTCAGTTCCGTTGGTCTATTTTTATATGATGCACATATTGAAATGTCAAAATCATTTATTTAGCCGAGAAATCTAAAGAACGGCTACAATCTCGTCCCCTCTTCTTTTTTTCAGTTACGCTCAACTATACGGAACATTCGGCAATTTCCGAGTATGCGGGTTAGTTAAGCTTTTACTGTTAAAGGATGACTGCATGAAGCAATTTCCCATCTCCTGATTTCAGAAATGTTCCTCCTTTTTTACTTAAATTACTTTGTTTGGGATATATGTTAAGGAAAAACTGTTATGCAATGAAAATTTAGAAAATGTTCAGAATTTTGATTTAAGTTAAATTATTTAAATATTAATATGAGTGGAAAAATAAATTGTATTTATTATTAGGTGCCAAGTGAATACAATTAATATGGCTTATTATTATTTATTTTCTATATTTTGAATTGAAATTTCATCATTAAATCTTGTAATATAGTTTAGTTCTGCATAGTTTTTTTTTTCTCTCATTGTAAACTAATTCTGTAAATTGAACTGGCATTTAAAATTTAAAAAAAAAAGTTAATTGTTTTCCAGTAATGCTTATTCTCTTAATAAATATTGCATTGCTCATATTTTAAATTGCAAGTCTAATTTTTCTTTTAAAGTTATGCAGTTGTGTATAATGTAATTAGACAGGTGCTTATTTCTTTTCTTAAAATGTGCTTGAAAAGTACTTATAGGTGCTTATTTTTTTTAACTAAAATGTGGCTATGAACCCTGTTGAACAAGTTTGGAAGAGGTTATCCAGAAATGTTGGTTGGAATGATCTGGTAAGTGAAGAGCGATTACTGGCATCTGTCAAAAAATCATTACGTCAACTTTCTCAGAAGTTCAGCACTGATTAAAAGCACTTATCACTGTGCTGTGAAAAAAAGTGAAGTTCATTTTTCTATGGTTTGTGGATTAAAAGAGGCCTAACTAAAAGAAAGAGAGAGAGGCATACTGTCAGTGGTTTCAGACAACTTCTTCAGTAAAATTCAAACAGTATGTTCTACTCTTGGTTTTTAAATGAGGTGCTGTTTCACTTGTGGAATGTGTTAGTTCTCAATATTCTTGTATTTGGAGAAGTGAAAATCTTAACACGGTACACAAAGAATTCCCTTCTTTCCGAAAAAATTAGTGTGGAATGCGAGATTGATTCCATCTTCTTTGTTTACAACCATCGCAGTAGTTGTGTGAATGAAATTTTCATGGCAGTTGTAAATAAATTGGATAACAGGAAACTTTCCAATGGATACAGTAGGATAGAGCATATACCACATGTTATATACCTGAAAGATGGAAATTAAATCCTCTTTTTCTGATTGCATAATTTTGAAGGTTTTTTTACCAGTGTATTTTCCTGATAAGACACCACCTGATTATTTTTTGTGGACATACCAAAGAGGAGAGTTTCTGCAAACAAACCCCCAAAAACAGGCACCTGGAAAACATATCAATGAAGCATTCAGGCAGTGATAGCAAGTGTGCTGGCAAATATATTCCAAAATATGCTACACTGAGTTTAGTGTTGTCCAGATACAAATGATAGCTACTTCCAGGACATGTCATCATTTCTCTCACAAAGTGCTATGCTTCAGGTTTTGTTACAGAGCTTCATTAATGTCAAAATTATTAAAGAAATAATAGATTCGATTGCAAGGGGAGCATCTTTACATAGAGGGATTTGGGTTGCAATTACACCTTGCAAAAAAAAGGGGACAGTTATGTATCTTCTATTCTACTGAGCCAATTGGCGAAATTTAATTTGAGTTTTTTCATGTCTCAAAAGAGCAATATTGAATGTATATTAGATCAGGGGTTCCCAACCTTTTTGTCCCTAAGAGCACATTCTAGAATATATATTGGACGATGGGCATTATTTACTTTTTCAAGGTGAATTAATAGTTCCCTCCCTCCTCCCTCCCCAATAGTGGGCCCTCATTCAACTTTAGCTTGACCACAACTAAGGCCAGAAGTCGTGGTCATTTTATTATGGAGGCACATAATAGGTGGATCACTTTTGCATCCTATGAAGGGACAGACAGTTACAACCGTGCCTTCTCAAGGATTCTATCTGGCCACTTTGGTATCGCAGTCAGCTCCCCTAACCACTATACCATCTGGGTGGTGGTGAATTTATAGTTGGATAGCGTTAATAATGCATAAACATAAAAAAAGAGATCGGTCACATTTCGCTTTGTGCTGGTATCTGTGTGATTGCAATGCATTTCTACTTGATTAAAAATGAGAAAACTTTCACGTAGAATTTTATTGAAAACTGAAGCATTTTTATTGTGATCGCACAGCGGCGGATGCCATGGTGCCCCACGGGCATAGGGTTGGGATGTGTTAGATTTATATATAGCTTTGTCCTAGCATAGGTATTCTGACACAAAATCAGACTTTCTGTGAAATGACATACCTAATTTTTTTGCCATATTTCAATTCTATGACTGAAATTATGCCAAGTGTCAAGTTTTGTAAAAATTTCATGAATAGTGGGCCCTCATTCAACTTTAGCTTGACCACAACTAAGGCCAGAAGTCGTGGTCATTTTATTATGGAGGCACATAATAGGTGGATCACTTTTGCATCCTATGAAGGGACAGACAGTTACAACCGTGCCTTCTCAAGGATTCTATCTGGCCACTTTGGTATCACAGTCAGCTCCCCTAACCACTATACCATCTGGGTGGTGGTGAATTTATAGTTGGATAGCGTTAATAATGCATAAACATAAAAAAAGAGATCGGTCACATTTCGCTTTGTGCTGGTATCTGTGTTGGATGCAATTTCTACTTGATTAAAAATGAGAAAACTTTCACGTAGAATTTTATTGAAAACTGAAGCATTTTTATTGTGATCGCACAGCGGCGGATGCCATGGTGCCCCATGGGCATAGGGTTGGGGTGTGTTAGATTTATATATAGCTTTGTCCTAGCATAGGTATTCTGACACAAAATCAGACTTTCTGTGAAATGACATACCTAATTTTTTTGCCATATTTCAATTCTATGACTGAAATTATGCCAAGTGTCAAGTTTTGTAAAAATTTCATGAGTAGTTTTAAAAAATTAGCTTTAAAAATTTTAGCTCCTCAGTGTTAATTAAATTTGATATACTGAATTTGATATTAATATCTCTTTTATTAAACTTGCTTTATTCCTTCTTTCACGATTCAAAATTTAGTTTAAATCCAAATAAAATTTGCACCTATTTTTTATTTGTTTTAAAAATTTGTATTTGTTATTAATTTATATAATTTTTTTGAATTTAAACCTTTAATACTTTTTGCCTTCATCTTAAAGTAGATGTATTTCTAGGCATACGTGCAAAAAATGAGACTTTTTATTCAAAATTTCCTAAGATATACGTGAATTTATATTATGGCACGTTGTGAAATTTGACATATTTGTTATAAGTGATAATAATCCCAATTGTATATGCCATATACAATAGCTAAATAAATAAAATTTATTACCCTTTTTGCTAAAATTATTTGAAAGAAGGAATGACCCCCCCCCTCTTTTTTCCATTTGTGCACAATACAAAAAAGGAAAGGCAAATAGGTTACTATAAATTAAGAATTTCGCCAAGTGAATTATTCGTGATGCAAACTGAAAAAAATGCATCAAGATAATATTTTTTAATTTCTCGGTAAAAGTCTTGCCAGATTTTACAGAATTTAATATTTAGGCATAATTTAAATCATAGAATTAAAATGTAATAAAAAATTGGTATGTCATTTCAGAAGAAGCGTGATTTTATGTCAAAATCAATGTATATCCTAAGTCATGCTTTCAAGACATGAAAAAACACAAGTTAAATTTCATCAATAGGCTCAGTAAAACAGGAGGTACAGAACTGTCCCATATTTTTTTGTGCAGTGTGTACATCTTCTCATAATGTCATAAATTGTTATTTTTGCTTTATTTTATGGCACTAAGAATTTAAATACTTGATAACATCTTTAACTGGAAAATAGGTTAAAGTTCTCTGATTACTAATTCAGTATATGATAATTTTTTTCCCATGTTACCCTAATACAAGTGTTTTAAGTTTCCTTTTTAAACTTTCTGTATGGTTATTATTGTCCCACAAATAATATTAAGAATATTTTTTAATTTTAAATAATCCGTCATTTAAATTATTTGCAGGAAGAAAGAGAGTGAAGAGTAAGAAAATTATTTCAGATGATACGTCTTCAAGTGTGCAGTCTGAGACACCCAAACGGATAACTCGAGCTGGTAATATCTTGTAGGACTTTTATATAAAAAGAATATTTAATACATATCATAATAGTAGTTTAAACTACTAGTAAGTACTAAAACTTTATAAATTCAAAAATATCATCTGATAAGGTAGTCTTTGCTTTCTTTCTTATAGCAAAAAGAAAAAAGAAAAAGATTAACCTTTATTAGAATTTGATGCTATTGCTTTTTTGATTCTGCAGAATTGTTTTTGCTTGTATTATTTATTGTTAAATTATATTAGTAAAAAGTTTTTCACTAATAAGTAAATGAATCCTTTTCTTCGTGCTTACTCAAAATCATGGTTTAAGACTTGAAAATTTAAAGTTATGGATGTTTGTTGGCTCAAATTCAAATGTTTTAATTTTATAGGTGTATCAAAGAAAGAACATGTTATATCAATTGATGATTCAAGTACTACTGATTCATGTGATGGTAAGTATTTAAAAATTAATGCTGCCAAATATTATTGCTCTGTATTATATTTAAAGAAATTTTAATAAAATAAAGAATCTGCATGAATGTATGCATGTGTTTCACATTGTGAAAAAAGAATGATATTTAGAGCCATGAAATGAATAATGTAGTCCTCCACCCAAACATGGACACCTGAAAGCCTGAATTTTAAATTTGTTTTATTATCTATTTCATATTTTGTAAAACTTTAATGAATTTTTTATTAACAAACTCAACAATTTCAAATTGAGCAGTGGCAATATTGTTCAGAATAAAACATTTTTATCTCCAGCATGTGAAACTGTCTATTAGGAATTCTGAAGTTATGCTGTTTTTAATTATTTTGTGATTTTGCTGTTGAACCAAATTTTATGTTTTATAAGCACCAAGAACATAATATTTAATAAATAAAGTAAACACACATAAGATTAATAATAAAAAGAGAAAAGTTTTGTTAAGTCATCTTAGTAAGGAAACAGAACATTAATATGATAAACTGAGAAAAGACAGAAAAATGTATGGCAGCACTTTGCTTCATTGGTAGTTCAAAACATATACTGCTGTGCTGCTTTTTAAATTTTTGTAATTTTGCTGTTGAATTGTGTAGAGCATAAGTGCAAAGAAAATTATGCTTAATAATGAAGCTAAAAAGACAAAAGGGGGGTTAGTAGGAATGAGTGTAACAACAAACTGGTAGATTGCGATCTCAGTGAAAGCATCAAAAACCTTAACAAATCATTTTGGGAGACCATTAAAATCTGTTAAAGCTTTCATTAAAAGGTGCAGTGCAGTATAACGTCCAACAACCAGAATGATCTAACCAGTCCTGGCTACCAACTACTTTTTTTAATGCTTTACAGTGTGCATTCGGCACTAAATAAAATACCTGATCAATAGTTTGGTTCCATAACCGCCTGTTTGCTTTGCCACTATTCGCCTATACCAGTGATTCTCAACCACTGTGCCGCGGCACATTTGTGTGCCGCCAAATTCTTAAAGTGTGCCGCCAAATTTTAGAAATGGGTATAGTAAAAATTATAATGGGTTTAATCCTAGTGTACACGAGAATTGTCGAAATTCGGTTTTTTAAGACCCAATTGTGGTATCCAAGCCGATTTGGGTGCCGAGGACTTCTGTATTTGAATTAACTTTGAATGAAGAGGAAGAACTAATTTCGCTTTCTAATAATCGAGAGGTAATTTTAAAATAGTCGGAGACATGCGATTATCCCATGATGACCAAAAAAGCTTTAAAAATATTATTACAGTTTTCTACATCTTATTTGTGTGAATTCGGATTTTCAGTATTAACCAACATAAAAACGAAAGAAAAAAAAAAAAGTCGAGACTGTTCAATGTAGAAGACGATATGACGATATGACGAATATAAATGAAATTATAAAAAACATCAAGCTCAAATTTCTCATTAAAAATATTCTTATTGTTAACTTGTAATTAATCCCTTAATAAACGTACTGCTGTTTTTGTAGTGCATATTTTATTTAATATTCAAATTTATTATCATAAACTATTTTACACAGTGGTAAATAAACAACTTTTAAACTTATCTTTTTCACTGTGTGCCGCCAAATTTTGAAATCGTTAAAAGTGTGCCGCTACAAAAAAAGGTTGAGAATCACTGGCCTATACATCTCAAAACAAAACATTCCATATTGTTAATTTTACACCTACTAATAACTTATACCCTTGATCCTGACCTGGCTAACCATTATTATTAATTTTTTTTCTTTCATCACTGCATGATCATCAACACATGGCAGCGTGAAAAATTACTCGTGCAATAATGTCTGAACTTTTTTTTTAAATACTAGTAATTGAATATTAAAGAGTGTGGTAGCTTTTTATGTTGCCATTACACTTGGCGATAATTACAGAATTCATCTAACTCTGTTGCAAAGTGTAATGCGTGTTGATAAGGAGAAAATTAACAAAAATTTCTTTCCATGTGCAAAAAAATAGATTTTATGAATAGGCCAAAAGATTATAGTACAGTACACTCCCCGTTAACCGACTTCTGTTTATCTGAATCTCTGCTTTAACTGGTAGTAATTAATTTAAGTACGAAAATAAAAAAATTACAAAAAATTGAAAATTCCAAAATTATATATTTTAAATACAAAATAAAAATAAACTTTGAAGAAAGAAAAACTTTATGCATTAACGGTATCGCAAACTCCTCTTAATTCAAAAATCAAAGGGTTCCAGAACAGGGATGGGGGGGGGTGTTGATTAGAATACAAGTCAATAATAGAGATGATGTGTTGACCTTGAAGGAAAAGGGTGCACATATTGTAGTGTGAAGAATGGTGAATGGTCAGATGGTCTCTGTAAAGTTGGTTGCCGGGGGGGGGGGTGAAATTTAAAGAATTAAATCTCTCAAACACTGTTCCTGATAATATTCAAACATATTGGGATTTGAAAATGTGTTTGATTCAGAAAAATTGTTTAAAATGGTTATGGTAAAAGAAACACATTGTTATCTTGCTAAAAAAAACGATTAGATGCCATAAAAAAGATAGACATGAAAACCTTAAATCTATCGCTTCATCTTTTGGTCTTGGCAAAGGTACTGTAAGTGATTGGAAGAAAAGAGGAATGTAGTCAAGTCATTTTGTAATAAACTTGATGATAAAGGTGTGCTCAGTTTTCGATCTACTCTAAAGAAACCGAGGTTACAGAAATTAGACAATGTTTTACTGTTATGGTTTAATCAAAAGCATAGCGAGGGAAAGCCAATAAATGAACCAGTATTAAAAGAAAAGGCTATTATGCTTCAGAAAATGAGTAGAGACAGTTGTTTTAAGGCAAGTGAAAGGTAGCTCAACAGGTGGAAGGAAAAAAACGGAATTTATATATGCTCATGATTTGGGAAGAAAAATCAATATCAGCCGATTCTGAAGCCGCAACAAAATTAAAAGAAAAATGGGAAGCTCTTATTAATGAATAGGCTTTATCTGATGAACAAGTTTATAATGTGGATAAAACTGGTCTAGTATTGCTTCCAGAGAAAGTATTAGCATCTAGGGAAAAAAAAAAGCCACTGCACCAGGCTACAAAAAATGTAAATACAGAGTGATTTTATCTGTATGCAGCAATGCTATTGGAACCCATAAACTCCCTTTGATGGTTGTTGGCAAATCAGTAAAGCCAAGAGCATTTAAAAATATTATCATCAAATCCCTGCCTGTGCACTTTTAATGGCCACTTGGATGACTTAGCAACTATTCAAAGAATGGTTTTATTCCAAGTTTGTCTCAGCTGTGACAAAACAACTCAAGTCAAAAAGCTTACCTGCAAAAGCACTGCTTTTATTGGACAATGCTTCTTCTTTTATCCTAAAGAAAATGAATTAAAAGTGGGGGATATTGAGGTGGTCTTATTGCCAGCTAACATAATGTCTCTATTACAACCCAGTGGACCAGGGTGTGATAGAAAATCTAAAGAGACGATTTCGAAGAAAGCTTTCGATAGTTCTTAGTGAGGATGCTATCTCTGATTTAAGCTTCATCAATTTAAAGAAAGCGATTAATATAAAGCAAGCTATTTAAATGATAGGTGAGTCATGGTCAGAGGTTGCCGTATCTGCAATGATAATATCTCGGCAGAATGATAGTTGAAACATAATAAATGCTTACTTTAAAAAAGTGCAGTTTTTTGTCACCGAATGTTGCCACATGGGCGATTTCTTGCCAAATGTGGCAACCCTGCCTTATCTTGCCATTTTATGGCAAAAAATTCTTTGCGGTGGAAGCTATTAGGCTGTTTAAATTTAAAGAAGTTTCACTTGAACTAATTATTTTATTAATTCTTTTATGATATCACTAATTGCAACTTTTAATAATATAACATTTGATTAAAGTATTTCTTTCATGAAATAAAAATATTTTCATCTGAAAGAAAATGTTAATAATGTGGCAAAATTGGAGACCTCTTAGAGAAGAGTATAATATTTGGCATTGTGAGTTATATTTACATGTCTGTTATTATGTTTACTAAAAATACACCCATGAATTTACCATTTATATATTTTATGTATTTATTAGTACTCACCCATTTTTTTTTGTATGTGTGTTAATAATTCAATTTTTATTTTTTTCTTAGCATCACTCAATTCTGGTGATGAGTGGACAAAATCTGAATCTCAAGCTATGGATACTACTGTCTAATGTATGTGTTAAGTTTATTATAAGAAATGTACAAAAAATATGTAGGATGCTTATTAATTAAATGCATTATTTTATGTATTTCAGTCTTGAATCAACTTATTTTAAAAGTGTAATTTTCTCCTTGATGACTTAAGGCAACATCTGTATGATCATTTACGTATAGCAGAAGCTACCAGTCATTTTACATGGAGAAAGAAATGAATGCTTTCATGCAATATCTTTAGAAAAAATGGGATCACCTTAGACCTTCGTATTAACCCTATTTATGAAAAATAACATGCATTAGAGTAGAGGGTTTTTTTTTCTTTTTTAATTTAGCTTGTCTAAATGTGAAAAAAATTGGCTTTTTTTAAACTTTAACATATACAATTTCTTCCAGATTAAATTTTATCTTTGGCTACCAAATTCTTCCTAAAAATTTCACCATTGTATCATTCACTTCAGAGCTGGCATATTACTATTCTGCATTTCGATTACACAAAATATTATTCTTCTAAATACAAAGCAAAGCTATATGAGTTGTCTGGGTCCAAATAGATGGCACTAAACAGACACCTCTGACAGGCATGCAGACCTGAAATCCTGATATCATAAAATTTATTTAAAATTTTATTCAAGTCTTATGGAATTGTACACCACTGTTTTGAAAATACATTTTTCAGTTCCTACAAGTTCATGGCATGCTACAGTTTGGAGGCCTAAGGCATCCCACGTATGTTGAAGCAAGTTCAAGTGTACTGATTAAGCTTATTAATAAATTTGAGGAATGTCCTCTATTTCCAAGTACTCAGACATGCATTATCTTCCATTAGCAAAAAATTTGGCCCCTAAGTAGCTTTTTTGGGGGTTTAAATATCTTGTTCACATGTCTGTGATCATTTATGGAACCTGCATCAAAGATATGCAGCCATCTTTTATGATTCCATACAAAACAATGAAACCACTTTCATGAACAAGGGAAGAAAAAATGTGAAAAAAACCCCTTCAGATCTAAAAATCACAGTTCAGGCTATATCTGGACATGTCAATAATGTCAGTATGGTTCCATACCTCTTGGCTTCACTGAATATGGCGACAACACATAAAATGGATCCCTTTGAAAGATGAAGCAAATGAGATACAAATTATTGGTTTTCTTACCAATTATTGGTTTTTCTTTCTTTCAAATTATTGGTAAGAGGTCGAACCTCATGAAGCTTTTGTGTAGTGGTAGAATGACAGGTTCAAATTTCCATGGCAGCCTAAAAGGCTGAAACCACCTCTTCTGTATTCACTTCACAGTTTCTTCATGTGGAAAATGACAGATGATGATCTTTGGAATGGGGTTGTTGTTCTTGACCGCCCATGGTTAAGCTATCTTCATTAATTTTTTTTTATTGCTTAAGGCAGTTCTGAGTTCTTGGTACAAGACTTTGAAGGAAATCTTCAGTGACCTTTATTTGTGTTCATGTGAGTGACATTTATTTGTTTGTTACCCCTTGAGTATTAAACTTCATTTTTGAGTTTTACTTAATTGATGACTTAGAATTGTAATTATTGAGTATTGATCTTTTTTTAAAAACGACATTAACTCTGGAAAAACTGTACACCCAAATTCTAACATGCATTCATTGCAAACACATCAGTTGCCCACTTTGCATACCCCGTGTGCTAACATATGTGTAGATGTCCAGTTTGCCATTCACTTTCAGATAATTAACATGAATAATGACACCATCAGACATTGACTGAAAATTGTAACCAGTAAGCATTTTTTCTAAGATTATCGTTTAATATTATATAATAAAAAAACTCCAGGCTGTAGGGAAATAAATTCTGTTCTAGTTTTAAGTCAATAAATATTATTAAAAAATGAGGAAATTTCATAGCAAATCACATTATTAAGAAAAGTTTTAAAAAGAATAGTATGTTTAATAATTAAAAGAGAGATGTCTCATTTAAAAGCAGGCTGAGGGAAAGTTTTTTATACTTCATTGCATACATTAAAAGACATTTAACATGTGCTCGTAAGATTTTTTAAAAAATGCTCCTGCAGCTGAAAGAAGTTGTTTTAACTTATCAAAGAACATTAAAAAAAATTGTCATTAGAACAATCAATCACAAAATTAAAAAATTCCTTGAAAAAAGGTTGCAGTGTAAAGGCATAAAACAGAATTCAAATACATCAGTTGCAAGAAAATATGACTAGTAATAAGTAGGCTCTTTCTTTTGTTTCCTATTTCTGAACAATTCATCTATAGTCTTCGTCCTCAAGTACTTCAAACAAAGAGGAAGAGATTGAATTTATTCCTAAGAAGAAAAAAATGGTGGCTTTTTATTATAATAAAATATTCGACTTAAAGTTCAGTTTAAGCATATGCAGAACTGGAGTTTTGAGTAGCTGGAGTTTTTTCAGCTGTAATTATTGTGAATGTTGCTTCAGAGCAGGGTTTCTTAAAGTGTGGGTCAGGGGACCTGCAGCGGGGTAGGGAGGTCGGCAAAAATGTTAGCAGTTTTGATATTTCTTTAACTTATTATAATAATTTTACAATTCCAAATATTTTTACACATGTGTCGAAATAGATAAATAAACGTACAACAAAGAAAATTCGAAGCGTTCTTTCTATAATATAACGTTCATTTTCTTTTTTTGTAACATGCACTTCCTTCGCTGTTCTTTTTAAAAATTTCCCATTGTTCTAAGTCTTAAAATTAAAATAATGACCTAAAACTGCAGTCGTATACAGCAAAGTCTTTATCCGGACTCGTCGGACTTCGCGATTCCGGATTATCGATTTTTCCGATATGATCAGCAGTTTTAATCTTGTAAATGCATGCAGAAATTAGAAATTAAAAATGAAACCGATTTACAAATAAAGAACAATTCTGATCGAAGGTATCAAAATTTACAAAAAAAAAAGCTTCCATATTTATTGTTTACTTTATTAAACATTCTTTCAATTAAGTTTTTTTCAGTCTTCGTTTTTATGTGATAATACATTCTCTTTAATTCTATAAACAGACATAATTTTGTTCAGTTTACAAATTCCGCTGTTCAAGTCTATAATTGCTGTGTCGAGAATATCGACTATTGTCAATCGAAATTTTTTCGTTTTCAATAACCGCTGTCACTTTATTTCTTTCGCATAGTCGTATTAAGTGAATTAGACGAGCTTTGATTTTAAATCATATCAAAGACAGAGTCATCGAGATGAAATACTACATTGAGTAAGCAATTTAGCCAAAATAAAAAAAAACTCTGCCCTTAATAAGGATGTCTAACAAATCAACTCATTCATTGCACCCGCCATTGGCGTGATAAACTTTGTTTCTCTAAACAAAGTTTAATAAAAAAATATACCTTTATCCATTTTTTGCAGCAATTCAACTTTTGTTTAAATGGACTCCGAAGATACTTTCGCTTGTATATCCTTTACATTTATAAATAATATCGGGAATTATTTGACATAATCGAAGTTCAAGCTCGTTATAAATTGCTCTAACGTCTGCAAAAATAATAATCCGATCCAATCGAAGATAAGGAACAACGCAATCGCACTTACTGAATAGATAATTAGATAATTTTAGCTTAGCTTATCCCTCCGTTTACTTAAACCGCATTCGTAAACGTACGTTGCTCACGCGCACACGCAAATTTGCAGCGGTAAAGGTCTTACACGCATGCGTCAAGTTTGTAGCTTTGAGGTCCGGATTATGGGTGTCCGAATTAACGACTTACAGTACAAGTGAAAAATTGACCCTTTTACTCACATGTGTGTCAGATCTGTGCAATACTTACGGGGTCCAACAAAATTATTTTTAATATTATGGAGTTCTGGGGGTAACAAAAAAAATTTGGTGATAAAAAGGGGTCTCGACTGAAAAAACGTTTAAGAAACTATTCTTTAAAGGGTATGGAATTTTGATCCTGAGGTAACATGGTATGTAATCAATCGCAGCTTTCGATCGCGCAGTCTTTAAGATCAGCAGCGCAATCTTTAAGAGCAAGAGCTTGAAGTGATCTTATAACAAAAACTCAAGAACATCCATTATTATCTATGTATGTTTTGATGGGTGAAAAGACAAGACATGAACTCATTTTAATGCTGGTGAAAAAATATCAAGGAAAACAACAACTGAAGAGCAAGAGCATTTTATGCTAGTTTAAACAGGTCTTAGCCGTACTGCTGCTTAATCTTACAGTTCTCAGTTTTTTATCAAGTAACTTTGATTTTCCTAATTTGCAAACTGTTGGTCAGGATGGAACAGAAGTTAATATTAATTCTAAAATTCGAATCATGAAGTAATTATCGGTTTCTATTTGAAATTCTCTGCAATAGTTTATTTGCCTTTTTATATGCTAATGAACTGCATTTACTTAATTTTAAAAATATTTCGATATAATAAATAGTAGACAAAAGGCATGTGTCATTGAAATTGTAAAGTTGCTAGAAGGTTGTCAATAATGCCTGCATTAAAGTTTGAAATGAAGTTTTTGTAAAATAAACTTTTGTGTGAAACAAATAAAATATGTTTTTATTATTACATATTGTAATGGAAACAATAAGTTAAATACTTCTCTTTACAAAATGCATATACAGTACAAAGTCTTTAATCCGGACTCATCGGGACTTCGGAGGTTGGGCTGTTGATTCAAGTACTGTAAGAGGGGTATCCGTTACACAAAGTATGAAATATTACCAAAAAAAAGCTCTATGTTCTTTATTACGTGTCTTTCATTATGTACGAAGTGTTTGTTTTATGTGCTTACTTTCCTTTAATTCTAAACAGACTTCTTTCATGCCTTACAAATTTCCAGCTGTTAAGTTCTGTAAATAGCTTGCCTTTAATTGTTGTCTAACTGTCATATCGAAATTTTTCGTTTTGCAATACCTCTTTCAGCGTTCTTCATGCCTTTATCCATTTTTGGCTAGGCAATGCTCATTTACACTTTTTGTTGTGTTTGAATGGACTATATAGAATCCATGCTTTTTTTGGCTTTGTATAAGTCTTTGGCAGCTCGAGAATCAGAACCTTTTGTCAAAAATAAAAGTTGAGCTCGTACTTTTTTATAAAATTTGTCTAAACAGTCTACAAAATAATA